GATTCTGTACTGGAAATCACTGCATGGGCTCAGGAACACTACCTGAAATCATTGTCTGTGAACACAGATCACCGTGCAATCCACAAATGCAAGTTAAAGCTGTATCACACAAGAAGAAACCATATGTCAACACGATCCAGAAATGCCGCCCACTTCTCTGGGCCCAAGCTCATTTAAGATGGACTAAGGCAAGGTGGAAAAGTGTCCTGTGGTCCAACTAATCAAAACTTGAATTTTTTTTTGGAAATAATGGACACCGCATCCTCCAGATTAAAGACCTCCCAGCTTGTCATTAGCACACAGTTCAAAAGCCAGCATCCATGATGGTATAGGGGAGTGTCTCTTTCAAGGAAGGCCTTGCATATTTCAGCAAGACAATGCTAAACCACATCGTGCATCCATCACAACAGCATGGCTTCTCAGAAGAAGAGTCCAGGTGCTGAACTGGCCTGCCTGCAGTCCAGACCGTTCACCAATAGACAACACTTGCCGCATCATGAAACGGAAAAATCCGGCAAAGAAGACCCAGGACTGTTGAGCAGCTAGAATCCTACATCAGACAAGAATGGGACAACATTTCTCTCCCAAAACTCCAGCAACTGGTCTGCTCACTTCCCAGACGTTTACAGACTGTTGTTTAAAGAGTGGATGCTACACAATCGTAGAAATAGCCCTGTCCCAACTTTTAAATGAGTTTTTATTTACATTTATTTACATTTTACACAGCGTCCCAACTTTTTTGACATTGGGGTTGTATGTTTTTGATTCACATCCAGTGTATGGATGATTCAAGCACTGACTTTTTTCTATTTGTTATGATGTCATAAAAATGGCAAAAAAATTTTAAATGTTTTTCTTTCTGCAAAACAAGACTATACAAACAACAATAACATTTCATCAAATTCAAGTCATAATAAAATGTCTCCTCGTCTTGCAAACACTAATGTGGTTGTGGTTTGAAAGTTTACAGTCTGCAGTTTGTAATCTACACTTCACACACAATTTCTCCACTTTTTTCCAGGAGCTCAATGTCAGAAATATTTCGGTAAATTAAAGCATGATTTTTTGTGTGATGATTTTTCACCATTTTATCGGTTAAGCATGAGTCCGGGTTGATTAGCGAGTCAATTAAGCATGAGTCCAAGTCACAAGTCAGTTAAGCGTGAGTCTGAGTCAAGTAACAGGTCAATTAAGTATGAGTCTGAGGAAAGTCACAAGTCAATTAAGCATGAGTCTAGGAAGTCACGAGTCAGTTAAGTGTGAGTTTGAGTCGAGTTGCGAGTCAGTCAAGCATGAGTCCAAGTTAAATCATGAGTCAGTTGAGCGTGAGTCTGAGTCAAGTCATGAGTCAATTGAGCGTGAGTCTGGGTCAAGTCACAGGTCAGTTAAGCATGAGTCTGAGGCAAGTCACGAGTCAGTTAAGTGTGAGTTTGAGTCGAGTTGCGAGTCAGTCAAGCATGAGTCTGAGTTTATTCAAGAGTCAGATAAGAGTGAGTCTGAGTCAATTCGCTGCAGCCAAGGTAGTGCGGGTCCTCAGTAAGACTGTCCTATGAAGACTCCTCCTTAGTAGCCTGTTGGTCACACAAATGGAGCAGTCCTAACGAGGCTGCATGGTGACGTCAACAAAGCGAAACTTGTGAGGGAACTGGTGAGAGAAAATGGAGCCCGTTGCATTGTATTTGTTGCTTTTTCATTTCTTCACGGAAATGAAGGAGATGTTTTTATGTAGTACAATAAACTACATATACACATAGTTCTAAATAAAATACGATATATGGACAATATACAATTTATGAACAAATGCTTAATTAATTGATCATTTTACACTTTATAAGGTAACAAAGACGAATTTATGGACGTGAACAACTTCTATTTTACAACCCCATTTTCAAAAAAGTTGGGACGCTGTGCAAAATGTAAATAAAAACAAAATTCAATGATGTGTAAATTATTTAAACCATATATGTCATTGAAAATAGTACAAAGACAACATTTCAAATGTTGAAACCGAAAAATTTTATTGTTTTTTGAAAAATATTTGCCCATTTTGAATGTGATGCTAACAACACGTTCCAAAAAAGTTGGGACAGGGGCAACAAACTGCATTAAAACAGGCATGATTCTCCAGTGGAAATCACTGCATGGGCTCAGGAACACTTCTGAAAAAAACTGTCTGTGAAAACAGTTTGTCGCTTCATCCACAAATGCCAGTTAAAACTCAAAAACCCAAAGAAGAACCCATATATATATATATACAGGATCCAGAAATGCCGCCACCTTCTCTGGGCCCGAACTCATTTAAAATGGACTAAGGGAAGTGGAAAAGTGTCTTGTGGTCCGACAAATCAACATTTGAAATTCTTTTGGGAAATCATGGACACCGTGTCCTCCGCGCTAAAGACCACTCAGCTTGTTATCAGTGCACAGTTCAAAAGCCAGCATTCATGATAGTACGGGGGTGCATTAGTGCACATGGCATGGGTGATGTGCACATCTGTGAAGGCACCATTAATGCTGAATGATATATACATGTTTTAGCAACATATGCTGCCATCCAGATGACGTCTTTTTCAGGGAGGAACCTTGTTTATTTCAGCAAGACAATGCCGAACCACATTCTGCATGTATTACAACAGCATTGCTTTGTATTAAAAGAGTCCGGGTGCTAAACTGACCTGACTACAGTCCAGACCTGTTACCACCGAAAACATTTGGTGCATTATGAAATGAAAAATACAACAAAGAAGACCCTGAACTGTTGATCAGCTGAAATCCTATATCAAACAAGATCAGGAAAACATTTCACTTTCAAAACTACAGCAGTGTCTCCTCAGTTCCCAAACAGTTACAGAGTGTTGTTAAAAGAAGAGGTGATGAAACACAGTGGTAAACATGCCAACTTTTTTGGAAATGTTGTTGGCATTAAATTCAAAATGGGCATATATTTTTCAAAAAACAATTACATTTCTCAGTTTCAACTTATGATATGTTGTCTTTGTAGTATTTTCCTTTAAAAATATTTAGGTTTACATGAATTGCATAGCATTCTATTTTTATTTGCATTCTGCACAGCATCCCAACTTTTTTGGAAATGGGGATCTAAAACAAGCTCTGCTCCAACGGCTTTGTTTTCCATCATTTTCGTGGTTCTGTTTTTTTTTTTCTTCATGTTGTTTGCAGGTAACTGAAGGCCTGGAAGGATACATCTGTTGCATCCTCGAAATCACTCAGAACATATGCTGCATTTCTAGGCTGTATACAAAGGGTACTTCACTTTGGAGCAGCCTTCTATGAGGAGGACGAGTTGAATTGGAAATCACTCACCCTCAGCTATGTTAGCCTCAGTGAGCTAATCAGCTAGCCATGCAGACTTTGTAATGCGATATGTTTCTTTGAGCAGCTTGAACATAAAGTACATAAAATGTGAATAACTACTTTGTCTGGCTGTAAGCTTTGGTTTAGAACTGTAATATATTGCCTTTCTTTTTTGCCTCTGTGATCTTCCTGCTGAATTCATCAGTTTATTACCAGGCTTAGTAGATTTATCTTCAACACATTTTCTATCACACGCCTAATTTTTTATGAGCCATGATGTGTCTAATACAAAAAACGAAGGCTGGATGAGTTCCAGCAGATGATGTTGCGACAGTTAGGGTTCATTTACTGCACTGTACCAGCATCTTAGAATACTTAATTTCTTACCACACAGAGACTGTATGGATAACAAAAGATTAAGTACTGTGGAAAGGTTTGTAACAATTTACTGGTACATACTGTTCTTTTTAAAAACTTAAGATGAATTCAAACAATTGCATGCTGTTTGTCTTTTCTTAGCCATTTGCCTGTGATGCATACCTCATTGACCATCTAAACCACTCATGAATCTCAAAGATCTAACAAAGCTCACCTGACTACTGACAGCAGTTTCCATTGTTTTATACCAGTAACATCAGCTTAAGCAGGACAAAGAAGCTCACATTTAACTAAATGGCAAGCCAGTAAAAATCCAAACAGTGCTCTTTCACCACTAATTTACTTTTGTTTTACAATCTTCAGATGATAAAAGGTATGTTCCAGAAGAGTGTCTCTAACAGCAGCTCTAAATGCTGTTAGGTTTTGCTACAGCAGCAGTAACACTCCTTTACGGTGTAAATATATTCAGGACTAAATGGCTGTTCAGTTTGTAACCATCAGTATTTCAGTAAATTATAATAGCAGTGATCAGTAATGATATATTTAAAACTTCTCCTGTGACATCAAGGTTGGATATGATTGGCTTCTAACTTACGAGGTCTGATTTGTTTGCACAAGTAGGGTGTTATGCTTTTCCCCAAATGCAGAGGATTACCATCTCTCCTTATATTAGAGAATCTCTGATTACGTGCATCATCTGGTGTATGTAGTATGCTATGGTTACACTAGCCACTCTTTAGTTGCATTCTGACTTGCTATCCACAAGTGGCTGTGCATACTTTAGTTAAACTCAGATTTGCTGTTATGCTTCCTTGCACTGTTTTTATCAGTCTAATGGGAAGAAAACTTCTGCAATTTAAGTGCGAGCCAGTCACCAGTTGCAGTTTCCTCCTCTGATAATAATGACAGAGCTTTTCAGAGCTCTGATGTAGCTGCTGGATTGGAAATGAGTTGTGATGTTCACAGCATCTCATCTTTAAAAGTTCAAATTTTTGGTGTTAGCAACGTAGCATTTCCTGGTGTCTTCTGAGCCATTGTTTACCACTTCGTTTCCCACTGATTTGTTTTTGCTGTAGCACCAGTTTGACAATCAAGTCAGTCAAGTGGCCTATTCCTGTCAAAGTAGGCAGTTCTTGGTCATGTTGAGCAACTAAACCCACCAGACTCGGTGATGATATCCAGAAGTCTGGCTTGTGACCACCACAACAGCGGTGGCCTGTTCACTGGTCTTACAAAACCAAAACTGGACACCCTGGTCTGATTATTGCGATGCAATGTAAGTAGTTATTGTGATCATTTTTTGTACTTCATCTATCTGCACTGGTTTCAGCCAAACGATTGTTCATGATGCCCAGAGCTCCAACTCCTCCAGAGAAGCCATTGTTGCGTGAGCTGGAAGCTGATGGGTGCAGAGGATGATGCCCGTTGGCCATTTCAGACAGCTGTTTCTGCATGATGGCCAGATTTACCTTGTTGGCAGCCAGGAAGTCCCTCATTGAAATCATTTCCCCAGACATGCGGCGTCCGTCTCCTTCGCTGTCATTGACTGCATCAGTTTCAATGGATGGATCACGCCTGGCTCTCAGATGTCCAGGCACTACTACATTCCTGCGGTTCCCTCGGCCTGGGCAAAGGCATGGAGCCTCCAGCTGCCGCAGAAGCCAGTTCAGAACCTGTTTGATGACGATGGAGATGATGTTGAAGAGTGAGTAGATGCAGCAGACACCAGTCAGGATGAAGAGGAAGTTGCCCAGTCTGTAGGCCACCTGGTCTTCATAATGTTCCGTCTGGCTGCTCACCATATCTCCAAACCCAATCGTGCTGAAGGCCACGAAACAGAAATAAAGCGAGTCCAGATAGTCCCAGCCCTCAGCTGCTGAGTACATGGCAGAAGCACAGCAGGACACCAGTATGGCTGCCACTCCCAAGATAGCCATCACGCAGTACACGGATGGTTTCCAGCCTGCCAAACTGTCCCTCCGTCTCATACCGTGGCTGTCAGACCCAGGCCGGTCATAGTCATTCTCTGGCAGGGCAACTTTACGCTGGTGCCGACGCTCATGGCAGAACTTCAACACAAATGCGATGACAGTGATGACACGCTCCAGGAAGAGGTTGAAGAACAGGATGGTGGCGGCACAGCCGATAAGTCCGTAAAAGATCAGGAACATCTTCCCTGCTGTGGTGGCAGGAGTGGTCATTCCGAAACCTGGAAACAAGAAAACAACAATCAAAATCACTAACTATTAATAAAAAACTAAGAAGAGTTTGGATATCCGAATTTTTCAATATCCACACCCACCCCTGCTAGAAACAAGCATTTTTTACAGATTGTTACACTACTTCTCAAAAATACATACTGAAAATTTCCAGTTTCTATTTGTTAACCTTCTATCATAATGAGATTAGATTTTTTGTGTAGGTGCCTCAAGCAATGACCTAAATTCTTTATCAATACACTAGTTTGGAATAGAAGCTGTGGTGAAAAGATGTACCTCTAGGAGCGAGATCCCATCCCTGATAGAGTATAGCATGTCATTTTCTACCCATTAATGAAGACACACTGAAAAAATGGTATCTTTTCAAGTATAATTATATTACATGTAGTCACTAAATCAAATATATTTCGTTGAGATTGTTGTAAGATTATTTTAAGATTATTTACTTACTATTTCTAGATATTGTAACTTGTTATAAGTAATTTTATTAAGTATAATTACCTTACTATATTGCCAAATAATTTTGTTTGTTTTAAGAAATGTGCTAGATATAGGGAGAACTTTACTTGATAAAATTGGCTAAAACAAGAAAAATGTCTAGAAATAAGTAATATACTCTATAATCTTATAATAAATGCACAACCATCTCAAAGTGGGAAATATTAGATTTTTTTGACTAGATTTAAGATCATTTCACTTGACAAGATACCATTTTTGCAGTGTAAAAACAACTTCACAAAACTTTGTTGCCCCATCAGTGTTCTGCAAATTTGGTACTTACAGCGCTCTTTTACTACAAAGCCTGACTTGGACTGTGTTAAAGTGTCAAAACATCTACTTCAATGCACCCAAACTATTCAAACACTAACACATTGTGTTGTGATACAAAACACTAGCAATCAATCAGAATGCTGGATTCATTTTCCCCTGAGCGCTGCGCTCACTAAATGTAAAACGTGATGTTTTCTCTTTCTGTTTACTCTGTACTGTCAGGATGAAGATCATGGTCAGGAGCCTGACCTTTGACCCCTACTTCTTCCTAGACATGCCATCCACTTCAGCTGAATACAAATCAGACTCTGCTCTGCCACAAAGAGGCAAAAACCAATATTATCTAAGCGTCCTCACACTGCTTCAGCTGTTTACGCTCCTGCTGAACACAATCTACAACATACTAAGTCATTAAATCACCAGACAGAGCAGAGCTACAGAGTGATATCAGAGAAAAGAGGACTGTGTTCAAGGATCAAAGCAAACATCTACTTCACTGCATCAGGTCATCAAAGGTAAGACATAAATGGTCCATAAACAATTTTAATGTCTGCCATGGCAGTTTGATTTAGCCTAGGTGACTTAAGAGTGATAACCTTATAACCTGATAATCTGAAGGACAATGCAGTGCATTTGGAAATTTTAACTACAAAGTTAGCCCACCCATGTTTTTACAGGTGTTACGCACCAGGTGGCTCTCCCTTAGTGAGGCGCAAGCCCACAATGTTTTCTTTTCTTTTTTTTCATACTTATACTAGAGAGTCCCTCAGGAGAGGGAAACATTTAGAACTCAAGACTCAAGGATTTTAACCGATTACCAGTTGAGTCAGAGTAACGTGCATGTGGCAGTGAGAACTAAGGATTGAGCGGAGATTAGCGTGTGGGCACCCCTTAAAGAAGGCGTCAACAGCTGTCACTGCTCAACCTCAATTAGCCCTTCCTGCCCAGCCCCCCCCCACCCCCCCTCTTAGACAGCAGACTGCCTTGATGTTACAGTAGGCCTAACCAAAAATGTATTTCTGCCCACTCCACTGTTCCTACTGCCTCCATTCTAAAGAAACATTGCCATTTCACACCAAAACATTCAGAATGACTTTGTGTACATCTCAACCATTATCAGAAATAAAGTATATCATTGTTGTTACTACTATTATTACTGTTACAGATGATACAGTACTACAGATGAAATTACTTATGAGAGTTAACATGGTTAACTATTTTAAAGCATCTTTTTCAGTGCCAGTATATATTGAGTGTTAAATATGCTATTAAATTATAATGGCTTTGTAAGCCTGATGGATAATCATGAGTACAAAAAAATTTCCAGCTGTTCTGTTTTGTCACACTTCTACAGGAAGTGGACCCAGAGCTCGTTAACAGCCAGACATTAATTGCTCTTTAACGAGCAGCATAAGCCCATGCCCCCACATGCACCCTTCACCCTCTTTCTGAAACAGTCTTCTCCCCCACTGCTGGAGATGGGTTGCCATTGGCGACGGCGGCTGTGCTCTTGGTTAGAGTATCTGCTGTTCTCTCCTTGCAGGTTCTCATTCAGACTCTCATTCAGACTCTCAGTCCACTCCACAATAACAGGCAAAAACATCATTTAGTTGGACAATGAATTCACTCGCTATTCACATTTGAGTCTTCTGTTTCAATTTCACCTGAGCGCTTCACTCACCGAATGTGAAACGTGATGTTTTCTCTCTCTGTCTACTCTGAACTGTCAGTGATTTAGTTTAAGACTATGGTCAGGAGCCTGACCTCTGACCCCTGCTTCTTCCTAGACGTGCCATCCACTTCAGCTGAATGCAAATCAGATTCTGTTCTGCTGCAAAGAGGCGACAGCCAATATCATCTGAGTGTCCTCAACACTGCTTCAGCTATTCACTCTCCTGCTAAACACAATCTATAACTAAATCACCAGACAGAGCAGAGCTACAGAGCGATATCAGAGAAGAGAGGAGACAAAAACAGCAGATCAGAAGAGAAGAGAAGAGAAGAGAAGAGAAGAGAAGAGGAAAATAAAAGAAAAAGAAGAGAAAATAAGGGAATCAAATAAGAGAAGAGAAAAAAGATAAGAAAAAATATAAAAAGAAAAGAAAAAAGAGAAAAAGGAGACAAGAAAAGAGAATAAAAAAGAACTGTAGGCAAAAAAGAGGAAAATTAAAAAGAAGAGAAAAAAGAAGAGTAGAGAAAAGGAGATGAGAATGAAAGACAAGAAAGGGGAGAAAAAGAGAAAAAGACAAGAACAGAAAAAAACAAGAAGTAAGAGAAGGTAAAGAGAAGATAAGAACAGAGAAAAGAAAACAAAAAAGCAGAGAAGAGAAGAAAGGAGAAGAGAAGGGAAGAGAAGAGAAGAGAAGAGAGAAAAGGAGAAAAAAGAAAAGAGAAGAGAAGAAAGGAGGAGAAGAGAAAAAGATAAAACTAAATAAATAAATAAATGAATAAAGGTCTTTGTTTAAAGCTGATTTTACACACTTGCTATTTGTTTGTTTTGCTCTTTCAGCTAATCAGCTTTAAAGGGCTGTTCAGTTTCAATCTTTTTCTCTATTTACTCAGCGTCTGTGATGAACACCATACATTTTTATCTCTCAGTTACTCACTTTTGGTTGATAATATTTCCAAAATCACAATTTATGCCTCATAGTTGAAAGTGGTGACCAACTCTTGGGGCAGACAGCTCAAGAAGAAATTACAGTAAACAGACAATTACAGCATGGAATTGATCATTTAATCACTTTTTGTTATTCTTCTTGCTGCACTTGTTACTTTCTGGTGTTAATTAGTTAATTAGTTAATTAATTAATTAAATATTTAAATAGGATCCATATACTGTAAAACAAGTTCTTATTCTTCAGAAAGGTTGTTTAAAACCCTGAAAATGATGCTTTGATTTTACATGATTTAGTGTGTTGTACATGAACAAATGATGCCACATCAATTACTGACTTGAGCTGATTTCTTTCAGCAGCGCTGATGTAACACATTCATGCAAACTCAAAGCAAGTGTGCTTTCCCGTGCTTTCCAGAGACCAGCGGAATCATCTAGACCTGTTTGGAGAATTTAGCTCTACTCTCCAAGGATGTGACTTTGGTTAAACGTTGTAAGGTTTTAAATGGACCTTCTGTCGGGGTCTGGGCGGGCATGCAGCCCTGGGACAGAGATGGGAAAAAAACATCCCACAACCAACCTAAACATTAATTTAATGACATTTTATGGTCTAAGACAGACAACCAAACCTCTTCTCAAGTGATGCAGTAGGGCATGTTACTACTGCGTTTAGTAGCAAATATTAATGCATTCAAGCTTAAATGACTAGACAATATTTAGATTTCGGTAACACTTTTTTTTGGAGTGGTCCTACGTCGATGATTAATAAACTCTTCTCGGACTATCAGTAACACATCAACAAGAAGTAGCAGTAGTGAAGCATCTGAATACGTTGAAGTAAATACCTTGTAGATGATACATTGTTGATATATTGTTTACATTAAATAGATGTATTGTTAATATGTTACTTCCATTTCACAAAACCTAACCTTACCCAAAACCTAACCCTAACCCTGGCCCTAATCATAACCCTAGCCTTAACCTCACCCTGGCCCTAATCATAACCGTAACCTTAACCTCAACCCAAAACCTAACCCTCATCCTAGCCCTAATTTTAACCCCCCTATGTTTTTGACATGTTACTGAGAGGCTGTTGAGTGTTTGTTTCATCTAAAAGGACACTCAAAATAAAGTGTCACCCAGATTTCTTTTTGTAGATGTATTTTCTACTCAAAACTGCATAAAAGCTTGTAAAATTCAACTTTATCTTGACGCATGACGGATAAATATGAAGGTTAGTTTTATCAAAGAGAGGTGTAGAAGCTATGCTGTTATTATATTATAATAATTTTATAACTCATCCAAACTATCACTTGATCTGTCTAAAAAAATGCTTAGGATTTCCCTAATTGGACATAATAGCCAGTAATAAGCTACTGTTTAACAATGAGAGTTTAACTAGGTCTATCTAAATACGTAGTACTTAATACTTATTATGACTCATAAATTTACTTTAACCAATATTTTTGCCATGTGTTGTTTACAAATATCTATTATTGAAATCACTTATTGATAAAGTAGATTGAATCCCCCCGCTAATCTCTCTCACCGATGGTGGATACCACAGTTCCAACGAAGTAGAATGCCCCGCTGAAGTCCCAGCGTGCCCTGCTGGAGTCCACCCTGATGCCGGCCAGCTTGGCCTCCTCGTAGCTCCTGAGGAAGCTGCTGAGCTCCTGCTGGCTGATGTTGAAGGTGCGGCTGAAGCTGCGCAGGCGCACCGCCCAGCGCTCCCGAACCTGCAGCTCCAGCGGAGCCTCGAGAGCCGAAAACACCCCGGCACCCCCCAGCAAGTACAGCAGGATGGCTAGGGCCAACAGCACGAAGCGCCCAGTGTCTTCCCCCACCCCCAGGCACTGGCAGCAGGCCATCCACAGGGCTTTAGCTCCTCCAGTGTCCCCTTCAGTCCTCTGGAGCCTGGGTCAGACCAGACAGCGGCTCAGGTCTGGAACGAGGCTTCTTCTTCTGAGCACATTTTGTGGCAGCATCAGGCGCTCGCAGCTCCAAAGTCAAAGGTTCTGTTCCCGGTATGCCATAAACTGAAATAAATGAGGGGATTATTGGATAAATAACAAACAAAAGATGTGATCTGTTTTGTAAGTTGCTTTAGTTTAAAGCTTCTGAATGAATGAATGAATGAATGAATGTAAAAGTCCTCTGCACTGCTAGTGTGGACTCTGTGGCTCTGCTGCTGCTCTGTGTCTGTGACCTCTCCTGAGTGAGGCTGCTGAATGTGAGCGCTGACTGAACCTCCCACCCTCATCTGAGAGGCGGAGGAAGCATATTATTACAAAATGAGTGAAGGGAGCAGTTTTACTGAGCAAGAAAGCAGTTTGAAGTCTGTTTTTTTTTTTCTTTTTTTGCAGCTGAGGGTGTACAGTCCTCTTCATTTATTTAATTTACAGCCAAAACAGACACTAAGTAAAAGAAAAAAAAACATTTATTTAACACAAAATGACAGAAGCCTCAAAAACTACATAATTTTTTTCTCACTTTCAGTTTATCAAAGAAATCTGCAGACACTCCTCCAAAGTTCAGTCTTAGAAGCTGGTTGATCATTTCTTGAAGTAATCAAACACATTCAGTGATGTTGAGGTCTGGACTCTGGGGTGGTCAGTCCATTGTTCAGCTTCTTTGTTTGATGTGTCTGTCTCCTTCTGTCCTGCATCTCTGTCCCTCATGGCCAAATGGTGAGCAGTTAGATTCCATTGTTTTAAAGTAAAGGTGTCCCAAAGTCTGAAAATAAGTGTGGGACATTATGAATTGTCACATTTTGCGGTTCAGCACTTTTTTATGTTTTAATGAAAAATATGATGATTTTATGTGTGCACAGCTGTTCAAAGCTGTGTTGGCTAGTCATGAACTGGCTGCGTTTTTGAGTTCATAATGAGCTAAAATTGTCGCTACTGAAACATTTGGTAAAGTTTGGGTAGAGTTATGATTGTTTTAGTGTAATGTTCAATCATTTGTTTTAATAAAATAAACATAATTGTGGTATAGGGTCACTCAAAGCAAAAGGATTTCAGTCCAAGTCCAAGTCTGTTAAATGTGTTTCAGCTCTGACTTTGAACTAATTCAGTAAAACAATCCAAATCAGATTGGTCTTAAAGGCACAGTAACAAAAACAGCCTGTTTAAGGCGCAAAGAGAGAGGCTGGAAAATGTAGAACTAAATTATGAGTGGAGAACGAAAAACAGGATGTGGCCCTTTAATTGTCTGTGCTAATGAACTGGTTGGCCTAAACAGGACACAGAAATAGTATTTTGAAATACCTGAATGGCTGAATAGTTGAACACTTCTATTCAAGGTGCCTTCACATTGTTGGTGATCGATACGAGCTGACCTTTCGAATTTGATTGGAAAATTTCACCATTTGCTCTTGGACGCTCTGAGCAGCTTTCCGCAAATATCACTTTTAGTACAGAGGGAGGAAATGCATTATGTATTGTGCACAGTCTGAAATGCCGTAGCCTCATCTGATAAATGTAGGTCATAACAGAACTGAGCAGGACTCGGCTATTCAGGCCTAATTAGCTCGATATAGCCATGCACCAGAGAAAAGCTTACAGGCAGATTAGTTATAACTTGTAACTTATAAAAGTGGTTACAGAAAAATTAATCATACTGAATAATTCATAAGAGTTGAATAATTTATAGTAGGAACCACATTTCATACTAGTTACTGAAAAATTCATAGCAGTTGCCAATTCATAGAAATTATTAGATAAGAGATAGTAGATCCTTAATCATTTATGGTAGTTACCGAACAGTTCATAGTAGATACCGAATAATTCACAGTAGAAACTGAATAATTCAAAGTAGACACAAAATCATTCTTAGTAGTTACTAATTAATTCACAGTAGTTACTGAAGGATTCATAGTAGATACTGAATCATTCATAGTACATACTGAATAAATTATAGTAGATACTAAATAATTCACAGTAGGTACTGAATAATTCATAGTAGGTACTGAATAATTCATAGTAGATACTGAATAATTCATAACAAGTACTGAATAATTCATAGAGGTTCCTGGATAATAAGAGTAAAGGGTTACTCAAGTGGGTTATGGAAACTAACTACGTTTAACCATTATATTTGTACTTATTTGAATATCATCATTGTGTAAAGACAAACAAGTATCTCTACAATAGTAACTTTACAGCAGAAGAGTTTTTTTTTTTTTACTTTCAATGTAAATTAATATTAAGAGATTTTATTCCAAGCTATTTTGGAGCATTTCTGTTGGTCCATTCATGATTGAATTATGTAGATAGATAGATAGATAGATAGATAGATAGATGTGACTATGTTGGCGTAAACATCTTTGTGTTTATGAGGTCACAGACGTGTCATTAAGAAATGAATATCCTGCTAGCCTCAGGAAAAAGACCTTCTCATCAGCGATTACCAAAATCCAATCTGTTTCGCTGTTCAGAGGTCAGTTGTATGGAAAATGAACTTCACCTTTCATCCACCGACAGCGATGCAGGGTAGGTTTATAAAGCCAGAGGCTGTCCTTTCCCTCAGAGCTTTGAAGCTTTGAAGCCTTTCCTCTCACTGGACTGTGGGGGATGCCGTGGCAAAGTGGGTCAGCAATCAAAATACAACAAATATATCACTATTTTTCCCATAACTTTCCCATAATTTTTCAGAATTCAGTGTGTGAGATGTAAACAGAGTGATTCAGAGCAGTTTGATGTGAAATGGTTCAGATTTCTTTACAGTGGTGGTGATAGGAACCAGGGGTCGCCATGACTACAACACAAATATACACATTTTATTTATTATCCAAAACCACCAGTGAACTTACACGAGTTTTATATGGAATGTTGATGATGAGATAAATCTGAGATGATAGGTTTTCTTTAGGACTATTTTGCCTTACAATACCCTGCATGATTTGCATTTGAAAAGAATTTTAGGTCAAAACTTTCTCAAAACTATCATAGAACTATCATCAAACTTTTCCTATCACCACCACAGTGAACAATCATGTCTGTTTGCCAAGTCTGTTTCTTTAAATTGACACATATCATAACAAACCATTCAGAAAGACTTTGCTGAATGACTCCGCTTGTTAACAATTTAATCAAGATCAAGCAGAAATTTTGAAATTGGTGGAATTGCCCTTTTTTTTTCAAAGCCTGTCTAACAATGTTTGCTTTACAAACTACTAGGCTACATTTTTATGTAAATTATGGTACCCTGCTCAAACACTATATATATATATATATATATATATATATATATACACATACATACATATATGTGTGTGTGTGTGTGTGTGTGTGTGTGTACGAGGAACCTGTTCTAACTGTAGCCTATCTGAGGTCTCTCACCTTCTCCATAAGCCAATTTACAATTTAAAATGACCATGAAGAAGGCCATTGAGGACCAACAGGACATTGACTGTGTTGCTATGGCTTTCTCATAGATCCTGCATTTCCACACAGCTCTTGAAGCCTCTCCAGTCTGATTGGAATTGTAAACAGGAATCATAAACATGGAGCCTGAGCTCTGGAATAAATGAACCCTGTTGAAAAAATTAACGCGTGTAGTATCTTTGCGCAGGATCGTTCAACACTTGATTATTCATATATTCATCACTTTTAAATGATGATCTGATGTTTTCAGAGCAGGAGTTACATGATGCAGACCAGCTCACCTTAAACATTACACACACACACACACACATAACACACATATCATTGCCTTTGGACAAAATAACCTCTTCTAAAACCTCAACCTTATTTTTTACTTTTATTACTTAGATGCCATGCTGAAATAACCTTGGTGGCTATGCTAGTGCTAAAAGGAAAACCGGCCAAAGTTTTATTCTTAAATGTGCATAATCATCAAAGCCAGCATGCTACAAACTAATGTTAGCTAAGTAAGTTAAGGTCAGCATTTCTCACTGCCCACCTGCTCAGATACGTCCTCTTCCTCCTTTTTCATTCTAGTCTTCTCAGTGCCACTTTGGTTTTTTGCAGTTTTTGACACTGCTGTCCATCTTCACGTGATTTCCGTATGAAAACTGCTACACTGGTAATGCAGAAACAGTACTGCTGTACCTGATTCACAATATCACACTGAATCTGATACGCTAATCTCTTGAGACTGATGTTAGCTGCTTAGGCAGGACAGGAAATGAGAACAAGAAGCTAACTTCATCTAATCCAATGTACAAGACTCAGTTACAGTCAGCAAACTAGGGTGGCACCACCTGAGGTGGGCTGCTGTTTTAACCCCTAAATTACTACAGATATACACTTGGATGTATACACAAGTTTATATAATTTTATGGATTCTAAATTTGATGCCTGCAACACACTCCAAAAAAGTCAGGAGCATGTTCACCAGTGTGACACATCATCTTTTCTTTTTAACAGCAATTGATAATCATTTGGAGACTGAAGATATTAACTGATCCATTAATGCTTTGGAGACTAATTGCAAGAAATGAGTGTGATAATTGTAAGAAATGGCCATCTTGTTTTTATTACACTCATACTGCATACTGTACATACATGATGTTTTTATGCCTGTTAGAATTTGTCACAGCTATAAATGCACACAGACTGTTTAGTAATATATATAGTAAAATGTCTTAATTTATATACATTTTTCTGCTCTTCTTCTGTTTTTTGTGCTTTTTTAACTTAGAACTTAGTATTTATAAAGTGTTTGTACAGTAACCTGTCATGCAGAGCAAGAATTTCATTGTGCAGTTTTACTATCTGTTTCTCTGTGAACATGACAAACCCTTGAATCTTTAATCTTATTGTGGAACTTTTTACCTACATTTTGACTCTGAATTTGTTAGAAGACAGATAAAATAGACACACAGAAAAGTCAGATAACTTCC